GGGAATAATTGGGTCTATTTGACTGTTAGGCTTTTAATTTGATGTAACATAGTTTAAATTGTTTAATTCATCGCATTAAGTACATGAACTAGATGACTAAAACTTATTTCAATAGATATTCTTTTTAATTCAGTTAAATTAATTAATCAGATAGTTATTTAGAAACTTTTTTTGATTCATTCAATTCAAAATTCTAATCGTATAAGCGAATTAATGGATTTTCTATTTCATTCACTTATTCCACCCATACATCATTGTCCCATACCCTATAAACTTAATATCCCCTAACATTTCTCGCCAAAGTCGGGGAAACCACCAAGTATACTACACATATAATATTGTTACAACAGCACAGACACTACCGAGATGCTACATACACACTGCAACCCCTTTGGAATTTCCTCTGTAGAATGGGGGGGACATCCATCGGATAAGAGCATTTTTTTAATACATATTTTATCTCTCATTTTTTAAGGCCCGGGTGAGTCCCCCATTCTACACAGTTTTTTTTTGGGGTCAGATCAGCACTTTATAGTGACGTTAAGATGCTGCGTTCACATTACCATACATGGCATATACAACCACCTAAGGGGGGCTGGGGGGATACCATGGCCATGCATAAGGGGGGGTCCCAGGACCTGGAGCAAACACATATGCACACACACATATATATATATATATGTGTATATATATATATATTCGAATATTAAAATATGTGTGTATATATATAATATATATATACACAATATATATATATATGTATATATGCATGTATGTACATTCAAAATTTAAATGTATATATATATATATGTATATTTATACATACATAAATGTGTATATATTATATACATGTATATTATATGCACACACACATATTTACACAAGTACATATATATATACATACATATATATATACATGCATATATGTATGTATATATATACATACACCTATATCTATATTTGCATATCTATATCTTCATATATATATACATATATGTACATATATTTTTGTATGTACATATTTGTATATACATATATATATACATAGATAGATAGATGGATATATATATATGCACACATTTAGATTTTCATTTATGTATATGTATGTGTACATGTCTTTATGTATACACATATGCCTATACATACACACATATATATACATACACACAAATGCACATATACATACATATATATATATACATACACAAATACACACATATATGCACATATATACATACACATGCACACACATATATATATATATATACATATATATATGTATACTGTATATATATATATGTAATTTACACACACCGATATGTAATATACACACGCAAATATGTATTGAAGGAAGAACGTTTGTCATGCGTTTCCTCCAGATTAATCAGTTCTGGAATTGGCCTGGGCTGTTTTTTGCGACGCAAAAGGGCTCCAGTAAGCAACGCTTTGTGATGATTATTGGAATCAATTGGTTCTCCCCAACGACATTCTTTTGAGGCCGTTGGTTTCTGGAGGCGGCGGCCTCCCTCACACCCCAGAGCCAGGCCTTTCGTTCTTGTTGTGAGAAGGTATGTCATGGTGACCCAACTGGTTTGAACATTTCCAATATTTCCCCACATCGCTATGTCGGGTTCTGTTTTTTGGTGCTGACTACAGCCTCAACCTCCGTTGCCTTCCCTTTCCTTTTCTTTATCAACTTATCCCTATCCACATTATATAAAAACTAGTCTCTATCAACTTATTTCGACCTCTCTCTCTATCAATTGATCACTTCTAACTTATCTCTATCACATGTATTTCCATCACCTTCACTGTCTCAACTTCTCTCTATGGTCTATCAACTGGCCTCTGCCAACTTATCTCTACCAACTCAGCCCTATCAACTCTTCCCTCTATCCACTTCTCTCTATCCAACTTTTCTGTCTCAACTTCTCATCAACAAAGTGCCAGGCACGGCACTTCGTCCCTCTCTAGACTGGTTTGCTGTTGCTTCCACTCGCCTGGCTGGCCGCTTTGGGCATCCTGAACCAGCCTCGACCAGCATAAACCATTTCTCTATTTCTCTATTTCTCTATTTCTCTATTTATCTATTTGACTATTTGTCTGTTTATCTGTCTGTTTGTCTGCCTGCCTGCCTGCATGCCTGCCTGCCTGCCTGCCCGCATGCCCGCATGCCTGCCTGCCTGCCTGCCTGTCTGCCTGTGTGTCTGTGTGTCTGTGTGTCTGGCTGTCTGTCTGTCTGTCTGTCTGAGCTGTCCATTTTATCTATCTATTCACTGATCTATCTATCAATCTATCGGCCTATCTATTTGTTTATCTATCTTTGCTCTCTTTCTGTCTAACTATCTGTCTTTCGATCTATCTATCGATCTATCTGTCGATCTATCGATCCGTTTATGCGCCTATCTATCTTCATTTCTTTCTATATCGGTCGTGCGTTCTTCTCCATCCAATCATCATCCGTTGCCTTCAATCTAACACACCTCCCACCTGTCGATAACAACCGGAAATTTAACAGCGGGGTTTCCGGCCGATTAATTTTTCAGGGGCTCTGCGCTGGGTCCATGATGGATAGTTATCATTTAAACTGCCACCATTTCAAGCACCTGCCCGCATCGCGACAGGCAAAGCGCCAGGTCGCGTGATTTGGGAATTTGAATGGAAAGGGCATTTCAGTGCGCGGCCACTCAGGGAAAAGAGATGGGATTACAAAACATGGACACTTGGCAGTTGTTTCAAATTGAACCTCCACAAGGAACGAGCACTTTGAGATAGCCAAGGAAACAAGAACCTGTTCAGGGATCAGAAAGACAGATGGGAATTGCATTTGTTCCTTATTGGGATTTGTAGCATCAAGATGAAGATTGAAGAGTGTCTGTTTCTCGCCTCCTGAGGCCTATGATGGAGATTGCCAGGATTACATGGAGAAAAAATACCAGGACCCTAACAGTGGTAGCAGCATTGGTTGAAGGGGACATGAGATCAGTTTCGGGTCAACGGACATAACCACAGCCCACAACACTGGTTTAAGGACCGTCAGCAAATTATGATCATTCTCCAGATAACCCCCCCACTGGCTTTGGCAGGAATATCAATCTGGTGGTGGCAGGCCTGCTACCGGGGTTCTGTGGTGATGTGATTCTTGGACGGTGGTGAGGAGATGAGGTTCACAATACGGAACAGACAGTTTGCACGCTTGACTCCATGACACCCTGTGCGTAAAGGTGACGGTATCAGCAATATACAGCAATTAGATTTGTAATTATTTGTATATGTTCATTATGTTCATCACTTCCAGAGGACGCTAGATTTTGGCCAAGGACACTTACCAGTTTCTCCTGGTACAGTCCATGTTTTGTTGACAGGAGTCGTGTGAATGTGAGGACAAAGGGGATCCAGGCCAAGTGGGCTGAGATGGGCATGGGCAGCGATATCTCGAGTTGTATCCCCTTGGTTCCCTCACTTAGATTGCAATGGAAGTTGGGTATATTTGCGGGAAGCTAAACAGCTACAATATAGCTATTGGTGAGGACCCCAATGCTTGGTCTTCCAGCCTGGCTCCCACAGATTTCGGTGGACTTCAGCAAGATGAGCAGCAAGAGAGACGGATCAGCGCCTTGGTGGATCCAGAATCCGGATCAGTGCAGATAGCCCAGGATACCCCAGGTATCCCCAGGTCTCACGAAAGCTCAGGATCACATCCAGAAGATCAGGTGCAGCCATTGCTGTGGGCTGTTGATGGCACTGCAGCTGCAGTGCCAGGAATTTATAGGAATTTACCATGCATGTATGTGTTTGTCAGCGAACATCGATTAGCAGAACATCCAGGGACATTTCACATTGCCAGGCGGAAGGAGACTGAATGAGGGGCACCTGTCCTCCATCTGCAGCTTTGGGGCCTTTTAGGGCCTTTCGGGCTACTGGGGAAGGGGCCCATGGCTTGCGAGAATGTCCAACAACTGAGTCAGACTACTGATACAGATCATGCGTTTTTTTAAAGAGCGACCAAGAGTTTTGTCCTTTTGGAAGTTTGCACCACGGCTTCGGGCACACTTGATACACTTGGCTACGGGTAGCGCTAATGGCCTCCTGAAAGGATGGCCCATCGCTCTCGAGTCGACGGTCAGTTGGGAGTTTCACTCAACTTCCAGTGCATTTCAGGTGGACTTCAGCAGGACTTCCTTTGTGCGAATCCCACTGATCCAACAGTTTCCAACGAGTAGCAGATTTGCCAAGCGTGTTCTTTTTCTCGGATGTGGCACAGGAACACACTGCTAGAGTCTCCTGGTGAAGAAGTGTGAGGAACTCTGACGAACAAAAGTATGGTTCCATGTGGCACGTTGCGGCCCATGGGTATACGGGTATACTTGCAATATCTTACAATCATGGTTCCACTATGTTCCACTCAAGCAAAGATGATGCAATTAAACTAAACTGAGACAGTTTGTCGACTTAGACTGCATCAACGGTTTGCGTTGTCCGATGCGAAATCTCGCTTCGATAGATGACCATCCTACAGATACTTTGGCTTGAGCCGTGGAGCAAAGCAACACCAACAGGGCCAACAAAACAGCAGCGAAAAAACGATGCTGGTGACAATGAGACATGGGTTTGGTATGGTTTGGTACCTATAATCAATATTTTTGGGACAACCATCATCCAGATTTGATGGTTCATCATCCTTTTCCCCCCATTGGAAAAACGAATCAGGAAAAAACGAATCAGGAAAAAACGAATCAGGACAAAAAAGCAACCACAGATCAAAAGCCATCGTCCCCGAGCTGCGTTGGTGGCGATGGTGAGCTCAGGAGTCCATTGATTTTTTAGATGTCTCCAATAGATTGATCAGAGAGATTTAAGCAAAAGTGGTGACATGTAATAATGATATAGTGACTCGTGACATCATATATATCATCATATAAAAAAGCACCCCAATGTGGATAGCATCCCCATCAACCATCAACCAGGTGATGTTTAAAGCATTTTAAAGCCACCATTTTATGTCAGCAGAGGAGATGATTTTTCCCCGCCTGAGCACCGCGATCGTAACTGGGCATGGAAGCTATGGGTCCATAACCACCATGAGTTGGGACATATACATAACCGTATAAGATCTTGTGATGCCTTATAACTCTGGCCATATATCACATATACGTACGTGTATATATATACGTACGTGTATATATATATACGTACGTGTGTGTATATATACATACATGTTATATAATATCATCATATATATATATTATACTATATATTATATATATATTATATTATCATATATATGTATACATATCACATATCCATTCATAGCAAGTAGAAGTGCAATCACGAAGCTGTTGAACATTTTCGACAGGCCAAAGCAGCACCAGCCGCCAATGTTGAGGCATCTTCGCACTGATTGTGGCTGGGACTTTCTGTGGTCAGCTGGGTTTGTCCATTTTGACGCCGTTCTTTCCCGCGGAAGCAAAGAGCAAGCTGGTGAAGGACGATCCAAGGTTAGCGGGCAGTGGTGGCTAGAAAAAAAGATGAAAAAACTATACCATTGGCAGGCCTCCAGCCATAGTCCTGGTACCATTCAAGCTGTCAACACCCATCAATGATTTGCAAGGAAAGACGTGTTCATAGGTTCATTGAATGCATAGATTTATACATTCATTAGTGATCTGTAAAAAGAAACAATCTTTAAAAAGTCAACTGCTCAGCTGGCTGAATTCATCAATCCCGACGGTGTAGGACTCGACCCTGGGATGGATTTTCAGTATCTTTGAGCTGGCGACCATGGTGTGCACCCCATGGGCGATGCTCGACATGGACGTGATGTGTTTCCTTTGGCCAACCCTCCACTGGGGTGAGTGCACACGCGGATATTGGATATGTTTTGAGGATATAAAGAGATATAGTATTATATATAAAATATTGTATATAAATATCTCGGTAGATATAATATTATATATATATAATATTATATATATATATATTATATTATATATATATTATATTATATTATATATATATGTCGGTATGTATCATATTAAATAAATAAATGTATATATATATATGTCGGTATATATAATATTAAATATATGTTGGTATATATGAAATTATATATATATATGTCGGTATACATGACATTATATATATATATATATGTCGGATTTAAAATCGGTATATCAAATATTAATTATATAATATTATATATATGTCGGTATATATGATATTATATATATATGTCGGTATATTCAATATTATATATTTGTCGGTATATATGATATTATATATATACATGTTGGTATATATGATATTATACATATATATATATATATATGTCGGTATATATAATATATATTATATATATATATGTCGGTATATATATATATGATATTATATATATATAATATGTCGGTATATATGATATTGCGAATAGAGTGTAGGCTACGGAACACTGTACACTCACACATAATGCAGCCCTCAAGGATCCAACGCCAAGGGGTGCGTCAACTTGCCCCTTTGGCTCAAGACCACTGCAGCACCGGAAGAAAGTATCGCTATGCTGAAGCCGCGACTCGTGTGCCGTCATCACTGAAGACAACTACTTCAAGACCAAACATCAGTACATAATCGGGGAGATAACCTCCGACTCACAGGTTATCAGCCGTAGGACTCCTACGGAGCCTACGAGCGGGTAGCCGCGGGCCTTACAGATGACTGAACAGGATAGCAGCGATAATGCATTTTCTTTCTCTGGACATGCCGTTGCACCAGCTGCCGGCACGCAGTCAAATTCTTCACAGAGTATCGACACTGGCGGAAGCGATGCCTCAGAACTGAGAACAAGCCTACCCAGGCGACCTCTGGTTGCTCCTAGAGGGAGACAAATTTCGACAATGCAAGCAATTGAAGATAGGGACAGCACACCTGGAAAGAGAAGATCATCTGCACGACAATTGTCGCCTCCGATGACTCCAAGGACTAAGGCAAAGACTACGTCGTCGAATCCGCCTTCACCGATTCAGGACGCTACTCCATCAGGGACAGGATCTTATCAGCAAGTGAACGCCCCATCAAGTGGTAGCGACATCTTCACTGCCTATCAGAGCGAGTTAGCTGAATACAAAGCATCACTGGAAAAGGCTACTGAAGAAGAATCCGTACTTCAGGCAAGATTAACTGAGACGACAGCATACGCCTATCAACAATTTAATTTCCTGGAAAGCACCACTCATCAAGAGATGATGTCGATGACCGAACAACTCCAGATGCTGAACTTCGAGTTACAGGCTGCACAACAAGAAGATGAAGGTGCGACCTACAGGATCGAAGAGTTGGAAAGGTATCAGACTATGTCAAATGAAGCTGCATCTCATTTGGAATTCAAATATTCACGACTACGTTCGGAATTCGATGAACAAATGGGACAAGCGAGCGCAATTATGGTACATGTGGGCGCTGATGCAAATGCTCACATCAATCAACTCAGACTGGAACTGGAAAACGCAGAGATGAATGCCAAGCAGGAAGCTCTAGCGGTCGGCTACGCCAATGATCAAACATGTGCTTTACAGATCGAGATGCTCGAGGTTGCCAATCAAAACCAGACAATGAAGCACACCATGTCCATGAACGTTGGACGACTGGAAACTGAGCTCGATGCTGCTGACATGAAGAGGGACGAGATCATGAAGGAGTTCCGTAGTAACATAAGATCTGAACATGACCGCTATGCAGAGTGTGAGCATCACTTAGCTTTGGAAGAATCACAACTTCGATTGCAGGTGATCCACAATGAAAACTTACAATCTCGACTAGCGATTTCTGAGAACAAGGTTTCTGAAGAATCTCTAGCTGAATCGGGTGGCATGCGGGACATGAGGATAATGGGACTACGTTCTGAACTACACATGAAACAAAGTCTTTTAGATCGAATGCAACAACAACTGACTGAATCGAAGAATCAGTACCATGAACTTTCCTGTCAGCAAGCCAGAAGATCCTCGCCAAGCAGATCACCGCATGGAGGACCACTATACGAGATGTATATGCAGGCCGTGCGTGAGCGTGACAGCTTGAAGGAATCCAAGGCCGAAGTTGACAAGTTGTACTTGCAAAACAGAACTGAACTCATTGACACTGAGAACCTGCTCAAAACCTTTCAACAACATTTTGATGAAACTGGTAAGAAGTATCAAGATGCTCTGAACAAGATCGATCACATGAGTAGCAATCCGAATGTGACGAGTAACTTGTTCGACAATTTGCACAATGAAATCAACGACAGGGATACAGCCATTGCTCGCCTTCATACTGAACTTGAAGCTCAAAAGGACTCTCTTGAGCGTGCTCACAGGGATGCAGGTAAGTCCATCAAGATGTTGAACGACAGAAGACTCGTGATCAAAGGTGCGACTGACTATTCCATTCCTGAAAGCCACTTGACCGAGATGCATCAATTAGCTAATGAGCGTTTTGCTGAGGTAGAAGAGATGTCAAGCACCATTGCTGCCCTGAAGTTGGAAAACCAGGCTCATTCTTCTTCATCATTGAATAGACCGACTACATTACATGGGTACCCCAGTAGTGCATGCCTCGGAATGGATGTGAAGAGAAATGTGCCAAACTGAAAGCAGAGTTGGACGAGATTAAGCAAGAGAAGAACGTTGAAGTTCGAAATCTTCAAGATGAGTTGAAGAAGATGGAAGATCGGAAAGATTATTACAAGAATAATTTCTCTCAAGCTGAAGATCGTGCCAATGATGAAGAGCAGGAATACCGAGCAGAAGCTGAAGCCTTCGAAAAGCTCAGGAACGAGTACAACACAAATGTCAAGGAGTTGGAGAACCTTGAGAGGGATAGATCCAAGTCATCCGTATCTCTAAGAGAAGCCGAAAAGATCAGCCTCCAACCCTGGCCTAAGACCACTGAACTTTCATCCTGGAAGGGAAGTGTTGTTCATGAAGTTTGTGTTGCAAGTGGAGATCGAAACTATGAAGATTGGAAAGCGTGGCTAGCTCCGTGTCTTGCAGATCAACCTGACTTGGAGGCTCTGGCCAAAGCACCCGATATGAGATTCCAATCCATTGATGCCAAGCTCTCCAATGCCTTGAGGAAAGTCATTGACAATGCTGGGGACAAGTCCATGCAAGTGAAGTATGACATGTCCATGAAGAACCAATTGTATGGGAGAAGTGGGGACTTCATCAAGGGACGAGAACTATTTGCAATGATATTGATTAGCTTCAAGTCACCTGACCACACTGAAGTTCTCTACAATGCCCATCATTTGTATATGTTCAACTACTATGGAGACGACCAACTTGAGGCCTTCTACAACAAGTGGCTTGACATCGTATACAATATGAAACATGATGATCTGCCTTCCAACAATTCCCTGCGTGACACATTGTTCCGGAAGATTGAACACTCAAAGCTCATGGCCTTTGATATCAACCGATACAAAACCTTTGATGAAGGGCATCCTGAGAAGACCTATGTTTACCTAACTGGTATGATCAAAGGATACATAGCAAGAGGAAAACAGGAACGACTGTTGAAAGATAGAGAACGTGCAGTGAAACTGTCATTGTCCTCTAACAAGACAACACCTGCTATGGAAGATGCCGACAAGCCTGCTGCTCCCATTAAGATCAAGAAGGAGAATGAAGCGGCTGCGTCGTCTACAGGTGATCCTCCCAAACGACCTAAAGCAAAGGCGAAGAGTGAAGCTGCATCGGTACTTCCAACACCTTCTCCGAAATCCCATGCCGACAAGAACAACAAGAAAGGCAAAGGTGGGAAGGGAAGATCATCTTCACCCGTTGACAAGAAGAAGATTTTCTGTAACTACTTCTTCAATAAAGGAGGATGCAACAAAGGGGACAAATGTCTTTACAGTCATTCTCAGAAGGTCTATGATGCCAAGATGAAAGGTAAGAAAGGCAGAAGCGGAAGCCGAGATTCATCAAGAGGGAAAAGTAGAGGAAGTTCATCTTCAGCTGGACCCAAGAAGAAGATATGTTGGAACTGGCAAAAGGGTACCTGCATGTTCGGAAGCAAATGTAAATTCCTACATGCAGATCAATCGCCTTCAGCATCTTCAGAAAGAACCAGCAAGAGAACACCAAAGAAGAAAGCAACTCCCATTACCATTGACTCCTTCTTTGATAGCGACAATGAAGATTCTATGGATTATACCTCACCGAGGATAGCCAGCGCAAAGAAGTCTTCTGATGATCGTAGGATCTCTTTCGAACTGGAACCTGACGTGCACGAGATTGCCATTGAGAACTACCAGGAGGGATTGCCCAAGCGTATGTATCGTGACCCCAACAAGCCGTATGTCTTCTGGAAGGTCGATGATCTGACCAACGATCAGTCCAAGTCCGACAACACCCTCGGTTCAGTCCGAGCACGGGCCAAGGCTATCATCATGGACAGATGTGGACTCCATCGTTTTGTTGATGAAGTTAGAATCATCATTGGCCCCAAGTTCGACATGTTGATCAAGCTGGACGATGATCATGATGACTTGACTTTCATTGAAGAGCTTGTTGAACACGAAGTTGGAAAATCCCTTATGAAGTCCAAGAACTTGATGTGCATTTCACTACCAGTACAAGCCAAAGATCGAAGATTCATCCTGGATTCTGGCAGCGGACACGATCTGATTTCCGCAAGGAAAGCCGAAAGGATGAACTTGAAGCAACGAACTTGTGATCCTATCATGTTCCACACCGCCAACGGTTCAACCGCTACCCAAACAGAAGCGGAGATTGACCTGGGAACCTTTGATGTGACATCTCATGCTTATGTACTGGACGACACTCCGTCTGTGATGTCTCTTGGGAAACGATGCATGGAAGAAGGATATTCCTTTGTATGGCCATCTGGTCAAATGCCATTCATGATTACGAAGGATGGAGAACGCATAGATCTGACAATCCACGACAATATCCCCTATGTTGATCTTGGGACATACGAATGCACTCCTCATGAATGTCATCATGCATCGAAGATCCATGACCTATTGACACATTCTCAAGTTGGATTCAACGATCTCAACGATATTGATGATGTTGGTCAACCATCACGAAGAGTACACCTCGATGGAGAAAGTGGTCTTGAGACATCGACTGAGAACCACAATTGTTCCCGATACGTCAAGAAGCTCAAGAAGAAGAAGAAGAGGAGAGCAATGAACCGGCAGAAACATTCGGCAACCCCTGGAGAAGAAGAAGAACCACCTGAAGACGGCGAATATGAACCTGGAACTCCGTTTGACGGACCTCCTGGTGATGAGACTGACTTTGAAGATGATGGTCATGGTGCTCCTGAAGACGCCGCTGAAGGTGATGAAGATGACATTGAGATCGATGTCGTCGAGGGTGAGTCCAGGGTAGCCAAAAGAGGAACACTCAAGAGAGAAGCCAATAGCTTGAATCACAAGTTGACCCACAGATACAAGAATCCATATTGCGACTCATGCATTCGAGCAAAGATGAAGCACTTCAAGACTCGTCGTGGTGCATACAAAAGGGAACTCAAGAAGTTTGGCGACCTCATTACCTTCGATGCAGTGGACACATCCAAAGTCCATGATGACGTGTTGGTCCTCGAGAAGGAAGTGTTGGTTGTCAGAGACTGTTTTACAGGAATCATTGGTGCTTATCCATCTGACAGAATGACCAAAGACGATGTAGTCAGAGCAGTGAAACAGTTCATCGGCGCAAAGAAGGTCAGACAGGCCTACTCTGATCATGCTCCTCAATTCATTGAAGCTATGAACGAGATGAAGATCCCAATTGATCATTCGTTGCCTGGTAGACCTCAAACCAATTCAATCGCCGAAAGGACGAACCAATTTATTCTCACAGCTACTTCTACATGTCTTTTGGAAGCTGGATTACCACCTTGTTTCTGGAGAACAGCAATCCTTTGTGTATGTCATCTGCTCAACGTAGAACCCAACGATGATGAATTGAGCGCTTGGTGCAAACTCCATGGATCTGAATTTGCTGGCAAACTCATTCCCTATGGTGCTCGTGTGAACTACAAGCCTCCGAAGACCAGAGAAGCGGGACAACTCCACAAGTTTGGGCCTGATTCTATTCCAGGAGTGTTTGCAGGGTATCACATTGGTCCAGGGATGCATTGGTCAAGACAATATAAAGTATGGCCTCTGAGTGAATTCGTACATCAGAACCTTGGTGACGATGCTAGCAAACCCGAACACCGTCTTCTCAAACCTCATTTGACTGAAAAGGTCGAGATGGTCACCCCACTGACATTTCCATGCAAGCAAGAATATGAGAGGGTGAACACCACGTTGGAAGGAATGAAAGAAAGGGAAATCCTCGATGGTGATCCCTCCAAAGTGCCTCATGGAGATGACGAAGAACATGACCAAGATGAAGATGATGATGAGCTTGATGACGGAGACGACGGTGGACCTGGACCAAGTGGTGGAAAAGTTTCAAAGAAGCCTCTTGATGACTCCGAGGATATCTTCGACAAAGATAAAGATCCAGAAGAGATGACTCTCCAGGAATTGATCGACGCCCAACCAGACCATTGGAAGAAGGGCAAAGCTGGAGATGGGAAGATATACCTCAATGACGATGGTGAGAAGGTCAAGTTGAACGTCAAGGGTTACCCATATAAGATTGGAGATGACGGTAGACGAATGTTCAGAACGTCATTGCGTCCCAAAGGGACCTATTCTCCTGAAGAATGGCGCAAACTCTCTCAGTCTGACCGGAATACCATCCTCAAAGCCGAGAAGAAGAAGTTGGAGAAGAAAGAGGCCGATGACAAAGCCAAAAGATTGGTCGAAGAAAAGAAGAAGAAGGCAACGAAGAAGGAGAAGAAAGATTCAAAGAAAGACAAGGACAAGCCAAAGTCCAAGGACGATGAAGGTGGTGATGAAAGTAAGAAGGATGACTCTCATTCAAAGTCAAAGAAATCCGATGCAGGTGTTGGTGAAGTTGTGAAGAGCAAAGTTACCTTACCTATCACATGTACAAGTACGTATCTTGATCTGTACGACATAGTCGATGATGACGATGTACATGGAAGACGATACATTGATTGTCGAAAAGTGAAGAGGAATGCTGATGCTAGTCCATGTTCCGATGCCTCTACTGACGTCCCGGACGACGAGGAATACCTCACTGAATGGGATGAATGGTCGGAGGTCGAGAGAGGACGTGGCCCAAAAGCATCGTGGAGTGGTGAAGTTTGGAGCACATTGTCAGGTGAGATTTCGAGGTTCTCCATGGCTACGCCAGGAGAGTCGACAATGATCAAAAGTGGCAAATGTGTTAACGTCAAGAACGTGAAGAACATAGCCACTGATGATGATGAATACATCCCTTTCCCAACTATGCCGTGTACTTCTGCATCAAATCAAAGTCACCGAACCAAGATACCATCAGGAGGCCTTGGAAGCAAACTTTTCAACGCAATGGTTTCACGACCTGTGGGCAGAGCTGAGATTGAGTCTAACCCAAAGGCCAAAGAGGCAATGCTCAAGGAGAGGAAAGGCCTTCGTGATCAAGAGGTATTCGACTTTACAATGGTTCGTGAATATGACGATGTTGTTGCAGAGGCCAAGAAGAACAAAAAGGAAGTACATATGGCCAGGGTCCATGGCATATGCGTGGAAAAGAATTACCAGTTGTCCGAAGACAATCCTGGTCGAAAATTCAAGGGAAGAGGCGTTCTGCTAGGGAATCAGGTGAAGAATCAGCATTGGGAGGCAGCATTTTTCCAGGACTTGGGAAATTCCCCTGCTTCCTTCGAAGCCTCACGATGGGCAGATTTTTACGGATGTCTTCCTGGGCACTCCGTCAAGTTGGCAGATGCGATTCAGGCTTACATCCAGGCTAAGTTGAAGGGACCTTTGTGTTGGGTGGAGTTACCCACTGATGCATGGCCTCCGGAGATACAGTACTGGAAGTTCCGTCGCCCTGTCGTAAGACTCGACAAAGCCCTATATGGACATCCCGACTCAGGCACGATGTGGGAACAACATTGTGACAAGAAAGTTCAAGAAATTGGTTTTAAACCCATTGGAGAGGAATGGCCTTCTATGTATTTTCATGATGAGCTCAAATTGCTATTGGTAATCTATGTGGATGATCTTAAGCTTGCTGGGCCCTCCGAAAATCTGGCCAAAGGTTGGGAAATGCTGCGCACTGTTTTGCGCATTGAACCCGAAACCGACTTGGGACTTTACTTAGGATGTGTTTTATCCCAAGGTGAGACCCAATTGCATAATGGTAAGAAAGTCAAGACCATAACTTATAACATGGAAGGATTGTTAAAGTTATCGGTGGAAAAGTATCTTGACATCATTGGTAAGGACACAAAATTGAAAAAGGTATCAACTCCAAGCCTTCCAGAGGAAACGAAAAGCAGCCCGTATCGTGCTCCTTCCGATGGAAAACGCAGAGTTGAGTGTCCTTGGTGTGCACATTCCTTCGATCCAGATATGCCTGCTCTCTCCGAGACTGGCAACTCACGTCCTGGCCAAGACAGTGAGACACTGAGCCGAGGGAATCTAGCTCCGCATGCAGCTAGTGTGCTTATGAAGCTGCTATATGCAGCCCGCATTGCGCGGTTTGACCTTTTGAGATCCATCAATGCATTGGCACGTAATGTGACCAAATGGACAAAGGATGATGACGCCCGTCTTCATCACCTAATGTGTTATGTTAATTCCACATTGTCCCTCAAAATGATAGGATGGGTCGGAGACAAAATTGAAGATTTATCATTAGGACTATTTGCAGATGCGGATTTCGCTGGATGTGCCCAATCCTTGAGATCAACTTCAGGATCGCACTTACAAGTCCAAGGTAAGTTCACAAGATTCCCACTTGCTGGTGGAAGTAAGCGACAAGGGTGTGTTAGTCATTCAACCCCCGAAGCTGAAATTGTGGCTGCAGATACTGCACTTAGGACTCTAGGAATCCCCGCATTAAGTCTGTGGAAAGTCCTAGCCAAAGTTTTTCCTCAACTCCTGTTTCATGACGATAATCAAGGTATGATTGGTGTTGTCAGATCAGGACGGAATCCAACCATGCGTCATTTGGAGCGCACACATGGTATCTCCATTGCCTCCATGCATGAACATTTCCAAAAGGATCATTTTGTATTGATCTATGAAATTACAGCCAAAATGGCAGCAGATATCCATACTAAAGGGTTCAAGAATCCCATGGCATGGAAGAAAGCCTGTATGCTAATCAACTTGTTGGAACCTCAGGACTTGCAGAGCAAAGAAGTATTGGACATGTTGCAGCCAAGCACCGATGTCGATATGACTACTCGCCAAGTTTTCCAATCCAAAACTGAGGACATCCCAAACTTCCCATACACGGAAACCCCTATTTTGCCAAAAGAAGTGTATAGGAAGGGTTTGACGAGTAAAGAGAAGCTACAATACTTGCCAGGTATGGATCCCATTTTTGTCGTCAAGCAACCGGTGTTTTATCGTCCTAAGCCACCTGGCTTGATAGTGCCGCCAGATGTATTGAGATCCACATGGGTTCTCCTCAATGGTGCGTGGACAAAGGTCGAACACCGTGCATCTCCACCAGAGCAGGCTATAAGATTTGATAAGTGGGTTGAACGAGCGTGTTTTCAGTATCATTCGCCCAACAAGCAGCCGTTGATCCCGGACACTGTTTCACAATCCGTTTCAACGACCTCAACCCACCGGGTGATGTCGTCAAAGCACGTGCATGCCCCGCCTGCCCACTCGAGCTCACTACGTGACTCGTGTGCGTCAATACCACATGACCGTGTACAGCATCCGACCGATTCACCAATGCTGATGTTCTCGGTTGATGCCTTGTTTTTAGATGCACAGACATCACCGTCTCAACACCCGAAATCCATTCACCAGTGCCTTCAGCCAGCCACACGTGTGATCAATACGCTTATGCGCCTTGTTCATGGGGGGAGTGAGGGTGAAGGATGGCATTCGCACAGTGAAAAGGGGCACCCACAGTCCACTTCAACACCTGGCCTATGTCATAAGCATCCGGAATTGGACATCACTGATAATATTCCGTTTGTAAAATCCACCCGAAAATCCCAAGTGTTAGGTAAGAAAAATGAAGACCATTGGCAGTGGGATGGGAAAGAGACATTGATCCGAATTCACAAAACGCCAAGAAGGCAAAACTTTGTGCCACAGGATTGCGAAGACTGTCCCTGTGACCCTAGGATCATATGTGATGAAAGGGAAACTGAACAAAAGTTCAAAACCAACACTCGAGTGATCAAAGACATATGGAGATTCAAGGGCGACAATCATGAATCAACAAATAAATTGAATGAATTTTGGACAGGAAAATCGACATTCAAGGTGCTCGCCAAGGCTGAAGTGATCGATGGAGGTAAGAACTGTAAAGTGAGTCAGGGAGTAATCACACTCTGCACCAATTGCAATGACGTGAATACTATTCCAATGACTTGAATATTATTCCCGTCACTGATGTTTTTGTCCCCTATCAATATCACATTGAAGTAGGCAAACATGAGGTTGACCATCCTAAGGTGTCGGTAATCCTTTGGAGAGAAAAGAAAAACAGAACTTTGGAATTTCAATTTTCCAAATCACCTTGTGACTTGATGACATCAAAGTATGCGAAGTTTTCCCTTGCAATCAATTTGATCGAAGTTCCTCAAGCAGTCCCATGCTTCGTCTTGTTATGTTCGGAAGAGAGAAACTGGTTTACGTTCTTGCAGAACAAAATGAAGGACGAAATGAAGTTTCATGTCGTGCCAATCACTGAAGATGACGACATGCTCTCTCCGTACGGAATCAGTAAGGCAAGGCGATGCCTTCGGACCAAACTTGATTCAGTGTTCTTTGCAGGTCCATGTACAGGAGGTTCACCATGGAACCGAATCAACCGATGGGTAAGCGAAGCAACGACACAACTCATCGAAGCAAAGAAGCAGATCTTCTGGGCGATGTGGGAAGTGTTTACATCAGTGCTAAGTGAACTTGTCAACATGGGATCACCAGCCTTGCTTGAGTTGCCTAGGGGTTGTGACTATTGGAAGGACCGTAGAATGACTGACCTTGTGGAAGGAACCGTATCTCATGAGCACAAATTTGATGGATGCATGTATGGCTTGAAATCACAATTCCAAGAGACTCCCAAACCAATCAAGAAACCATGGAAGATTGTTACATGGGGGGTGTCTTTTCCAAAGCTTCATAGAAGATGTGATCGCCGTCATGACCATGCTGAGTGTGCCGGTAGGGAAACTCGCATTACTCAAGTTTACACCAAGTGGATAGCCAAGATCATCATGAATGGAATCAATGATCATGTAACCAGGAAGTCCATTTGTGAACGTCAGAGTGATGAAACGTTGGAAGCCGCTTGCATGTGATGAACAACTGAAAGCTGAAATGTCTCGTGATTCCGAGAATGTCCGCAGTCACCCGATCAAGTCGGTGGCAACATCCGTTTGTGCTACTCGAGAGCTCGACGCCATTGACCATTCGTTCG